ATGAAGTTCCGCAAGAGATCATTAACCATCCGTTATACTACCCTTATTTCAAGGTATATGCTCTATACATTGTGAATATCTCAATTACTTTTTAATTTAATACAAATGTTCACTAGTAATATTTTATAATCTCTAGGATTGTATTGATATGATAGATGGAAAGCATATTGATGCTATGTTACCTGACCATCTTGCTCCATGATTCTGTGATCGTAAAGGAGTCACACAAAATATTCTAGTGGTGTCTACTCCAAATAAACTATTCACTTACGTATTAGCGGGGTGGGAATGTTCTGCAAACAACTTTAGAGTCCTTCAAGATGCATTATCTAGGCCACCACCTCATAGCCAGAGAGTATATGATGGTAGTTTTATTAAAATTTGGAATCCTACATATTTACTTCAACAATAAGATTGATATACAATGCAACGTTAAAGAATACTAATAAACAATTTTATATCATGAAAATTGTAGGAAAATATTACTTGTGTGATGTTGGATATACGACAATGCCCGGTTTCATCTCCCCATATCATTGTGTCCATTATCATTTGAAGGAACAAATAGGAAGAACACCCAAAAATAAATAAAATTATTTAATCATAGACATTCTTCATTAAGGTCTAAGATTGAATCTAAATTTGGTTGTTTGAAGAATCGTTTCAAGATTCTCACTACTAAGCCTCATTACTCATTTCCTGCATAAGTTGATATTGAGCCTCATTACCCATTTCCTGCATAAGTTGATATTGTATTGGTATGCGTGGTTCATCATAATTACATTGTAATAGTTGACCCGGATGATGAGATATTCAATGAGACAATTAACATTGAAGAGGATGAAGATGATGTTGCGGGGGAAGAAGATAATAATATTGTTAATTTTCTCAATCTCAAACTCAAAAGGAGCAAACTTAATCAAGAAACCTATGGAAGGATCGTAGAGATCATATAGTTTGTGAGATGTGGGATGGCTATTTTTAAAATTAATACCTCAATTGGTTAAAAATTTTAAATTCCTATCTCAAGTGGTCTTATTTCGGAACTTTAGACCCTAAAATGGTGAGTATTCTCACACTACTTATTATTCACAAATATTTTGTCCTGTTTGAGTGGTAAGTACACCATGGTGACCATAGCCATGGTTTCTTCTATTTTTTAATTTGAACCAAACACTATAAAATGAGGGAATCAAGTCACACATCAAATGTATGGTCAAAAAATTAAAGTTTGATTGATTTCTTGTTTTAAGAATGGGTTCGATCGCTTAGTACGAATCCTTTACAATCACTCACTCTCGATTACAGAGGAAGAGAATATTAATTTGACATCTCTTTGTTTAAAAGTGAGTTTTTGGTGACGAAAGGATACTTCTCTCGATGTTCAAGCCGAGCTTGCTTCTCATTGACGATCAGATCAAGATCACAAAAGTTTTTGATGGTGGCTTAGATCATGAGAATGCAAATACTGATCTCTCTTCACGCGATAACCAAAAATCTTCCAAAAAATGTCCAAAAGCCCTATTTTTATAGCTGCTTGTGACTATTTATAGGGTTTCAGCACGTAACCGACATGCTAAAATTATGGGTAGAGGGCGTAATTGCCTCCTGTAATTCAGCCCACGTTGGTTAATGGGACGTAACATGCTTATGAAGTTTAGCACACATGGCTGACTAGGTCTTCGGAGCCGTTACAGCTGGATCTCCTGCGGACGACGAGCTTTGCTACATGATAAGGTTCGTCAGATCATATGAGCCTCAGTACACAACGAGGTTCGTTGGCAAGGCAGGCTTTGCAGTATAGCGAGCTTCTTCTGACAAACTTTGTCTTTATTGACTTCGTCTAACGAGCTTCGTCTTCACTGATGAGCTTCGTCTTCATTGACGCGCTTTAAATCTTGTTTCTAATGACAATCTTTATTGTTTGAGACGAGGTCTGTTATTGTAATGATCCTCGTCATGCTTGTTATGAGCTTCAACGCTTTAAGGCCAAATGATTAGCCGATGATCTATAAAGATCCATGAGAGTGGAGGAGAGATAGGTTTTTTGACTAGCCTCTCAATCTTCCCCCTTTCTTTCATGTTGATCTTGCATATTTATAGGATTAGGACCATTATGGAGTGAGTTAATGGGCTTTAACTCCCCTTATATTGAAGGAGTTAGTGGTCATTAACTCTCACTTAAGTAAGTGAGTTAGTGGTCATTAACTCTCCTTAAATGAGTAAGTTATTGGTCATTAATCCTCTTTAAATGTAGCCTCTGAAAATTATGACAGATGAGGTTTGGCTATGCACGAAGTTCGTCAATAATAGCAACGACGAACTTCATCTTCAATGATGAACTTCGTTTCTTGACAAACTTCGTCTTCTGAGAGGTGAGGCACTGTTTGACGAGGTTCATCTGCAGATGGACTTTGTCTCTTGGATGAGCTTCATCTTCTAGAGGATTTTCGTCTCTAAACGAACTTCGTCAGACAATGAACTTCGACTCTATTGATCGTTTTCATTGGCTGAGATGAGGTTTATCATGATGACGAGCCTCGTCATGCTTGTAGCGAGGTTCAACCTTGCTTAATTCCTTGGTATTTTTAGTGCCTACATCAACTATTTTCTTATCTTTTCAATTTGAACCAAACTAAGGAAAGTGATGGAAAGTAATTATGCACCATCTTTCTTTATAAAACAAACACAAAAAATACTCTTCCAAAAAAGTGAGGGAAACACCAAAAAGTGAAGGAAAGTAAGTTTTGAAAAGTGAAGGAAAGTAACCAAACAGCCCCTCAAAGAATCCTCTACCAAACATATCTTATTAATTTGCCCCCCCCCCCCCCCCCCCCCCTCTTCAAACCTCCTAACAAAATGACCTTAATTTAAATTGAATGATTTTGGAAGTATGTGATACATGTATAAAATGTGTTGAAGTTTTTTGGAAATATTGTTTCTAATTCATTTCTCTCAATGATTAAAATACTCCTCACTTTACTTTTTAAGGTTTTCACATGAAAACTATCTAAACATTTTTCTAAATTGATATTTGCCACATTTCCTTTTAATTTTTGGTCAAAAGCATCTTTACTTGCATACATGTTTGCAATGCCACACGTAATCTATTTTTTACCTTTAAAAATCTAAACTTTTAAAATACCTTCACTCAAACATTCATATTTTGTATTAACCCCCAAACTCTATCATATTTTAAAATTAGTCCCCCAAATCGACGTCGTCCTTTTTAGAGAGGGCAATGGGGAGGTCTAGATCGTTGATTTTTTACTCCTTAGCTAGGGTTTCGAGGGTTTTTTCTTGGATTGGAGGGCGGGAGGGAGAGTAGATTAGGGGGAGGTGAGGTGACATGGGGAAAATTGAGGGGAGGATTTTCTTGGATTGGAGGGCCAGAGGAAGGAAGGATTGAGTAAAGCTAAGGTTAGGGTTGACGAGTTTGGAATTGGGAATTAGGGTTGGAAATTGGGCTGCAGTTTGGATATTTGGGTTTGGAGATTTAGGCTCTAATTTCAAAATATAAAAGATGTGGAGGATTAATATCTAAAGAACCCTTAAGTTTGTATTTAGTTTAGAAAAATGTGCTTTAGGTTGTAGGTAAAATGGGAATTTCAAACCTTTTTTTGGGCTGAAAAATCGATTAGACGTAACATTGCAAACATGTATACAAGTAAAGGTTCTTTTGATCAAAAATAAAAAGGAAAAATTATACCTATAAATTTGGACAAAAGTTAAATGTGTTTCTTATGCAAAACCTCTACTTTTTATAGCAAAACCCAAATCTCTCGTGTTCTAAAAAAAAAATCAGATGTAGTTTATTTGGTCATCAGAGAACCAAATCGCAAGATCTCTAAAGGTTTGAGAGACACATGAGCAATTTCAAAGATTTGAGAGACTAAGGGCCCGTTTGGATAATGGAACTATTAGAAGTAAGAAGTAGGTTATAGAAGTAACTTTCAAAACTGTGAAGTAGGAAGTAGTGGAAATAGCATTTTTTTTGTTTCATATATTTTTAGAAGTAATGGAAGTAGAACTTCTTCCTCTTTATTTACTTTTTTTGTTTGGATAACATTTGAAAATATTATTAGGAAGTAATTTTATCAATGAAAAGTTGTTAGAAGTAACTAATAAAGGAAATATTAATAAAAAAATTATTTATGTCATAATTAATATGTATTTCAACTACTTCCGAGCTACTTCTGAGTATTGAGGATTGGAAAAATATTTTGGAAGTAAGGATGACACGTAGACGCCACATAAGCATTTAGGGAAGTATTGGAAGTAAGTTTTTCAGAGAACCAAACATATTTTTTTGCTTGGAAGTAGCAGAAGTAGCCTCTACTTCTTTTACTTCAGCTACTTCACAATTATTTTCCGTGCAAAGAAACAGGCCCTAACATTTAACTGACCCAAAAAATCAAACATGACCTCATTCTAATATCTAAAAGAAAAATGCATTAGAGACCCAAAAACATAGGAACCTATATGAGACATGTGAGATGTCGGCTCTCTGTCCCATGATGTACTGTTCATGGGACGACTCCTCACGTGTCCCATATAGGGTCCCATATTTTTGAGTCCCTATAGCACCACCCTATCCAAAAAAGAATTGAAACCTAATTTGAAGGGATTGCATTTATTGAGATGTGACGATCAAATGAAAAGCAAAGGCTACCTCATTTTCATCGTTCTTCATCATTAGTTGCTCTGACTCAGCAGCTAGTTTAGTGGGCAACAAAACAAGGGAAGAAAACACCGCAAGCTCATTAAAAAACGCATTGAGTAGGAGAGAGAGAGAAAACGGGGAGGAGAGAGAAAGTGCAGCATCAACGCTGAAAACACTTCAAAAACTTTTCCCCTTTTTTCCCCCTTTTCCTCCCCCTTTCTCCCTCTTTTTTCTCCTTCCCAAAGCGTTAAAGATTCGATCTTTGCGTGCCAAATCTGGGTTCGAGCTGAGGTGAGCCCTTTCTTCCCTTTTTTCTATTAATGGGTGGTTCAAATTCACGGGCTTTCCTTGTTTTTTTTAGCTGTCGGATTTTGATTCTGTTTGTTACCTTCGTTTATCATAGAATTATACTGAAATGGGTTGCGTCTGAAACTGCGAAATTGGCATTTTGCATTGAATATTGGGGGTTGCCTTGGGGGGTTTAGGTGCGATTTTTTGGTTGAGAGATGTTGAAGAGCTGCCATTTGTGATCCTACGGTCTGCCTGGCTCTTGAGCTTCTGAAATTTCTTAGAAAATATGGTTCTTATTCTTCTCTTTTCAATTTGGACATAAGTATTTGGATATAAGTACCCAATAGCTAGTATTTGTTTTGGTTGCATAACCTGTGAGGATAAAACAAAGGAGAAGAAATGATGGAATATTGCTTCATTGTTTGTTGGTTTTAGGCATGTATAAGAACCAGCTGCAAGAACTTGCTCAAAGAAGTTGTTTCAACTTGCCCGCTTATGCTTGCATCCGCGAGGGACCAGATCATGCTCCTCGGTTCAAGGCGACCGTCAATTTCAATGGTGAGGTCTTCGAGAGCCCGAACTTTTGCACTACATTAAGACAAGCAGAGCATGCAGCAGCTGAGGTAGCTCTAAATACCCTCTCGAGGAGAGGCCCGTCGAGATCATTGGCTGCAAAAGTTCTGGTGCGCTTTATAACCCTCCATCCTTTTAGCTTATGATATTTCATGTCGAATATTCTATTGCTTTATTTTCATGCCGGGTGCAACGGTGCAGTCTAGCTTCTGCTGATCTCAAGCTGAATGGATAGACTTATTATTATTAGTAGTAGTAGTAGTAGTAAGGAGGTGGATGGATCGTTTCTTCTCATGGAGAAATTGAGCAATGTTTTATTTGCATAAAGTCGCTTAAACATTCGTTCATAATGTCATCGCTTGCTTAATGGAGAATTAAAAATGCTTAAGATTAAGGTGGCAACTAGGACACATACGTTGGATTTTGAGAGCATGAAATGCAGCGTAAAACCATAATGCATGTATAGCATCCATTTAATCTACTTCAACTCTAATCTGTGGGCCCCTAACCCTCTTTGCAACTTCCAATATCAAGGGATAAGGAAATTTATGTTCATATGTATTCAGGATAGTGAATTTTGTGATTGTTGTGTCAATCTAAGTCAATATTGTTGTTAACCCCCACACTTCTTGTTTGGCCACTTTAAAGAGGTGTAATCTAAATTAGAATACGATAGCACTTGACACATTCAAAGTTGCATGCTAATTTCTAGAGTCTGATTATCGATACATGAGCAGCACTGTGTCAATCTTATACCCAAACTAAATCTCACTCCTGAATCAGAACTTCCTAGAAGCTCTTACATCTTGATTTGCTTTTGCTCGAACACATTTACTGATATAGTTTTTCCATGATCCTTTTCTCAAAAATGTTAGTTACGATTAATTCTTGAGCTCATAGGAATAATTTTATGACGAAAATGAGTTTTATCACATATCCCATGTGGAACTAGCTGATATTTTTGGGTGTAACATACTCCATTTAGGATATGGTCTCCTGAGCATTTAACTTGTAACAAAGGCGAAGTTAGATTTTAAAGATGAGCTCAATATATTCTAGAGGCGACTCGCAAATTGAAGAGGTGGTTCCCGATATGTGATGTATGAAGTGACACTTTACTCTGTATGATTCTAGAGGAACTTAATTCCACACACTTGTGGTTGGTGCTAGACTTTGATACCATTTATTTCGTAGGAGCCTAGGTCACCCATCCTAAAATTGCTCTTCAATAACCACACTTAACTACATAGTCTTTCCATGATTTTTTTCCTTAAAAATACTACTTGTAATTAGTTCTTGATTTCGTAGATTGCAGAATGAAATTAGTTCTTGACTTCGTAGATTACAGAATGAAGTTTCCTTTATCTCATATCCCATTTAGGACTATTCAATATTGTTTGTGGTGTTACATTAGGAACTACTCACAGTCTAATCCCCCTCGTTGCTGCATTTTTTTTTTTGGAGAAACTTTTTATTACTCAAAAACCTTTACAAAATATACCCCAGCATACCCAGGTTTAACATATTAACAACCATGTTAACAGTCTCCTAAACGGAAAGAAGAACAAACTTTCGGACTATGCACACCTAGGAAGTAACAAAAACCAAACCAAACCTCCAAAACACATAGCACACATGTGAGTTATAACAAAACTTAGAGATCCCCTCTACATCCTCATATGCACAAAAGTCAAAACCTTACCAGCAACAGCAATTACTTATGAGGCTCACTTCAAAGCAGCTTCACCCATTACAAACACCAACCAGAGCATCATATAACACGTTATATAAGGCACTCCTAGCCTGAACTAAGATATTCAAAAACCTCAACGTCAGATTTTATCATGAGCAATAACATCATTTAAGATTTTTTCAAGTTTGACGTACCTCCAAGAGCTCCTGATTCTACCAAAATGCTTCCGCATATCAGCGGAACACAGAGTTTATCACCACACGCCTATCCGTAATTTAACCCTGCACTTAACATCTCCTACATACTGCTGATAAATTGAGGAGAGTGAGCTTCAAGCTTATACAATCTTGAGTTCTTCTCTTGTCAAATCCTATAATTTGCAGATAACAAGCAACGCCTTGACATGCAACTTTTAATCTTTTTCCCTTTACCATCCTCTGAAACCACACTATAAACTAAGGCCATGCTCTAGCATAGGTCATTAATTTCATCTCCTGAAATATAGCCAGAATAACAACCCGAGAATATGAGCATTAAAAGAAAACATGGTCCATGTTTTCATTACAAGTAGCATACATTGACACCCCTATCATCAGTAAGAATACCCATTTTTACCATCCATTCGTTAGTCATCATAGCAACTAACCGAGCTATAAAACATATCTTGGATCACCACCTTCCCCCCCTACAGCCTTGAGCCACTCCATTTCAGCATAATGTTCAGAAAAGCACTGTGAATTGAGAAAGAACCTAAATTGAAAATTTGACATTAATATCTATGAAAATATTCCAAGTTCAAGATCCTCCCTGTTTTCCCTGAGCACTCCAAATATCAGATTCATGACTCTCGAAAAAAAGAAAAATAAATCATTTTGTCCATTCATAAGCTTGCTCAGATTTTATGGGGCACTTGTCTGACCAAGGGCGTAACTAGAATTCAAAGTTCGTGGGGGCCAACGGCCTATGACTTGTGGGCTTAATTTGGGTTCTGTCTTATAGGCTTTGGCTCAAGGATGAGGCCATGATCATTTAGCTAGGGGGGTTGGGGGAGGGGGGCTCATTGCCAGGGATAAGCAAATAAAGTCATATGACATCAATTAAATCATTTTGGTATCGTTAATTGAAAAAAGATTACTCTCCATAGGTCTAACGATACAGAAGCTCTAATGTATTTCGGTTTAAACACCTGCTCAAATATGGTTTGATTCTCATCCTTCCTACTTATAACAAGAACGCGCGCGCGTGTGTATATATATCCCGAATTCACGAGTGACATAGCCACCAGAAAAATGTAGAAATTAGGAGATCTTAATGGTAATAACTTGAGGGACTATTTTCAAAATATTAAAATTTTAAGAGACTGATATTAGAGAATTCATACGAAATAAAAGAGTGGGTCTCTCTCATTGGAGGTGAATTAACTTTGTTTCCATCTTTTCAAAAGCTAGACAAAGTTACCCAAATTGAAAGATTAATATTATAGTTGCTTCAATTGCTCCCTGTTTAATATTCTAGTTTGGCACAGGAGTTATCTTTGCGTGCGTAGAGCTCGGGAGGGGCCATGGCCTTCCCCAGACCCTCAAAAGCTCCGCCATTGTGTCTGACTAATCTTGACTCGCAACATACATGCAGTTTATGCATCTATAATGCAATAAGTCCAATATCCAAGACTCTTCTTGTTTCCTCTGAGCATTTCAAATACCAGATTCGTGACTCTTGAAATAATAAAACTCATCTTGCCTATCCATAAGCTTGCTCAATTTTTGGTGCAATTTTCTGACTAATCTTGAGTCCTAACAGTAACATACATGCAGCTTATGTAGCTATATTGCAATAAGTCCAAATATGGAAAATGTAAAATATGACAATAAGTCCAATATGGAAAATGTAAAATATATTAGATTATATATAAAAAAAATGGTTTATGCAATAACTTCTTAGTATTGCGCAGCAAGCCTAGTATTGCACACCAATCTCGAATGCTGACGATTGATTTAATACGTTCTGTTTTTAATTAAACTTACAGGATGAAACTGGTGTTTACAAGAACTTACTTCAAGAAACGGCTCACCGAGCTGGGTTGAAATTACCAGTTTATACTACAATTCGCTCTGGACCGGGCCATACACCTATATTCTCATGCACGGTAGAGCTTGCGGGAATGAGCTTTAGTGGAGAGCCTGCCAAGACCAAGAAGCAAGCTCAAAAAAATGCTGCCATGGCTGCCTGGTCTGCGTTGAAACAATGTGAGTCTTGTCTTTATTGAATGATCCTGTTTTTGGTTCACTAACAAATTGGTCACCAAATTACTCCAGTACTAGAATTTAATATGAGCCAACAGTATAATCAATACAAAAGTAGATGTTGATTTTGAGCACTGAACTTGAAATTTATGAATGTTGGAGTATGCAAATTTGCAGTATTTATTGACGTTGTGCCATCCAAGTTGGATCTTATTTTAGCAAAGAGCTGTTATTTTCTGTTAACTGGTTTTATTTGTTGCATAGCTTGAGTTCTTAAGCAATTAATTCAAATCAATAATATATTTTGCCACTAATTCTTTTGGAACCAATTAAAGCGATGCTGCTGACTGAATCTTATTGTCTATTGTCGTATTTTCCTCGATGCTTTTATATGGCCTCTAGTTCATATTAGTAAAATGCAAAACATGGTCAGGTGACATTTTTGAAGCAATGTCTTCCGGATGCTTAAATAAGATGAAACTATTTTAAGTGCTTAGTCATAAAAAATCACTTCCAATGCATTTATTGTTTTTTTTCATGTCAATATGATCCAGAAAAAAAAATCTTAAAACCTAGTGTCATAAAATGACTTTTTATTTTCTTATCATTAAAAATTCTCCATGCAGTGCCACAGTCTGGTTCCTCTTGCTCATCCTGCTCTTCACCATCCGACCACGAGCAAACCGACGAACAAGGTCAGATAACTGTGGCCCGTGTACTCTCAAGCCTGTGTCATTCAGAAAGCAACAAGCAATCTCTTCAAACCAGTGACCGACATCATAAAAGCCATCAGAGACCAGTTACAGTTCCGCATAACAGAACCAATTATTCCTACTATCCCATGCCTTTTCACAATTGGGCTTATCCAAATCTCTCGCCAGATGCACTAATGTACCATATGTGGCATCAAGCCCAAGCATCTCACCTTGCAAATGCTAGATCCATACCATTTCTTCGGTCCATGTTACAACCTTCTCAAAGTCAATTATACCCGGGGATTGCCCAAGAATGTATGAATCCAATGCTTTGCTTCCCTCGATCCACTACCCCAGTTCTGTCAAATCCATCAAGAATCCGGTCTCAGGTGACTATTCAAGAGATTCACGAGGAGAAAACCCAATCAGAAGACAAAGAATGGCTTCGTAATGGTAATCCGGATGCTATCAATCTTCAGTGTGATGGTTCCAACAGAGAGACCGATATTTCCCACAAAGTATTTGATCCATTGTCTACAGTATCTGATACCTTTGTGGTTAAGGATCCCTGTGAGAGTAAAATGATCCGAGAGAGAGAATTTGGCTCGACCGGTCCAAGGGGGTTTAGACCACCTCAGATGTCGCTTTCACGAGCAAGAGGTCCATCCACTGCTACCCCAGTAACTATAAGGACTCAGGTGCCGGCGTGCTCAACAAGGCCTAGTTTAGTAAACCAGAATGATTGGTTGCCGCCTCCGGTGAACTTTATGGCTCCACCTGTTCACATGAGAACAGTTGTGCCGGTATGTTCAGCTCCTCCTGTAAGAGAACCACATTCAGCACAAAAGAGCAGTCAGGACGCAGAGGACAATAGAGGGGTCAGTTCAGAGTTTTCTAAGCTTCAGATATGAGCAACAATTTTGGAATCATTTTAGCTACAACTCTTTCATCACTTTAAAATAGAGCAATGTATTGCATTGGCTTGTGGGGTTATCTACTGTTGTTCCACGGTGGGGTCGAAGAAAATAAAATGCAAAAGGTTTATTTTAATTTTTTTCAGTGTAAATTCTTTGTTGAGATGGAAAACTGGAGAGTGAAATTATTGGTATCTTGGTCTTGAATGCAAGTATTATTTTGCGTACGTGCTTCCTTGGTATATAAATATTATGGCCTTTTATTCATAGCCCTCTATGCTCTCCGTAACTTCGAAGTTTTGGTGTAGAGAGAATATGTGGAAGATATGACATTTACCTCCATCTTCACAGGCACAGTAGTATAGAGTTTCTTAAGTATATCTCAGGTTCTTTTGAGATGCCTATTGGAGTGACCTGCAACTATTACTTAACTTATTTTTTTTATTTACTTGGCGAACTCCGGCGTAGTCGAGGGCGCGGCGGGGAGCGGCGGCGACGAGGTCGGGCAGATGAGAGGAGGGGAGGCGGCGGCGAACTCGAGGGGAGGCTTGGGACCTGGGCGGAGGCGGCGACGGCGAGGAGGACGAGGGCCAGTGCGACGGGCTTGAGAAAGCCCTTGGGTTGAGAGAGAGAAGAGAGAGAGAGAGA